GCCAAAGGGTACATTCAAATATCTTTTGCAGATAAAAGTTCCGTAGTAAGTAAATTCATTAACGCACTAAACAGATCCAAGATAAAAGACTGTTTCATAATATGTTCACTGTAAAGAAGAAGAATGATGACTATTTTTTAATTCGACGGTATTATCTTTTACGTTCAATTTTATGAAATGAGTAGAAAATCTAAAATCCAAGTATTACAAGTGGCTCTTAGTGTTGCTTTCAGCTTACGAGTAGAATTTTGAAATAAAGTACTAGATTTAGTCAAAAGGAATTAATAGAAAACCCTAAAATGCCTTAAAAAGCAAGAATATTTTAGCTTTTATGTATTAGTTTTAGAATAACTGTTTTTTTTTCTAATTTCTCGGGTTTAATGGATTATCTGGAGGTTTTGTCCATTGAATAGAATTGTTTTTTTGTATTTGTTCCTTTTAAACATGCTTGCTTACTTCCTATCCTAGCCGACCGTTGTCCATTGAGCCCTTCATCGTTTATCTTTTTGTCAAATCGTACTTAAACTTTCCGTCCATATGCTATCAAAAAATGTCGCTTTTCTGTAAGAGAAATATCGATTCCCATAACCGAGTTATCAACGCTGATTGGCTGTTTAAGCGYGATACCTTCAACAACAGCCTCCGATTGGCTATTCAGCGATATCCCTCAAAGTCGACAGTGATTGGCTATCGGATCAAGTATAAAGCCAACATGCAAACCGTGTGTTTTCAGAACGGTAGCGCTTTCAATCAAGATGTCGATATCAGTGCTTTCATTGAGTTCGTCAGAAAACATCCCCCTTGCAAGCAACTCTTTAAGATGTGCTTTCCATGCGTTTATGTCAACCTCTTGTTTTCCCAGGAGAACACTGCAAATCTCCAGGGAACTCGGCGACAGAGCCATCGAAGCTCAGGTAAGAYTTATTTGCCTTTCCAGCGTGGGATTTTGTAAAAAAAAATAATTATTCAAATGCGAGAGAAATCGCTAGATAGTATGGGATATTTTTAGGCATGTTCTGTTTGTTCCATAACCCACATCCACTTCGCATATTGCTGGTTTGAGATGATAATTTCGCTGGTTTTTCTAAAACCACTTTCTTCCTTCGAATTTACCACATTTGATCAGCCTTTCAGCGCGATGCAGTTTTCAATAGCACAAAACCAATTTGTTCATATTATATATTGTCGATATCACTAATACAGAAGACAGTATTTATTCAAACCGACAGGCTTTTCTAATGCAGTAAAATTCTTCGATGGTTTTTGCTTAAGTGAGAATGCTGAGTGACTTTTTATCTTGAATCCAGTGTTTACTTATTCACATGGCGTTATAAGCTCACTCAATGTTTGCTCATCGTGTCGTTTACATTGAAAATTATCGGTTTTCTTGCTTCTTTTTGTATTTTTCGCTCTARATAACCCCCCTTTTCGCGTTGAAATGTTATTAACATTTTCTCTTAGCCATACAAGGCTTGCTTGACCGCATTCTATTGATTCATTTCCGTTCTTCGTTGTATGCTGGATTCGTTCGAAGTGAAAACGATTTTTTCTTCTCCGCGAAAACGAAGAGAATTAAAAGAATACTTCGCTTTATTTCATAGGAAACTGTTTTGTCAATCTTTYGGCGTTAATGACAGCACGACTTTGACAAAATAAATCGATCAACAGCAATCCCTTTTTAATCGCCAGATTTATTTTTTGTCGCTGTCAAAATTGGTTCCCGTACCCTCCCCTGTTGAGTTCCACGAAGTCTGGCTCTACATTACCCCTCTTGAATCTCATAGTTTACTCATAAGACGTGTATTTCTGTTACATGTTGTTTCGATATGTTTTTTTATCATTACTGTATATTTTTTTCGTCGTTTTTTTTACTTTTTCTTGTCTTTAAGAATGCTTTGCGTGTCTGAGCCTTTCGTTGCATTTTTTCGAATATTTAAATTATTCGTTACTTGAACTTGTATCATAATCTGTTCTTGTTTGCTCTTTTATCCTTCATTTACGGTCTCACTCAAGGATTTCTGTTTAAAGCACATTTTTCTGCCTTTAATCTGGTAACAGTTTGGTTTATGAGAAAATGAAGACAATGTCTGACTGCACTAAAATCTTACTCAAATTACATCTTTTAAAAAAAATAATGTCTCATTTTTTTCAATCCGCGTCCAACAATTTTTCATGTTTTTGACGTAATTATCGTCCAGTATTTATTCTCGCAGTCTAAAACGTCACAGGTTTAGAATTTTGTTAAAATATGCAATGACAACACAGAAATAGTAGTTTCGGTAATCGTTTGATTTCAAGACATTATGCGAGCTTCAAAGACTGTCATCCGCTCAGCCTGCGGCTTTGTCAAAGAGCAGCCACATTGACCTAAGATAATTCTTCATATCATACTCAGCCTTAAACAATAATTCTTCATATCATACTCAGCCTTAAACAATAATTCTTCATATCATAAGCTTAACCAATAATTCTTCATATCATACTCATGCTTAACCAATAATTCTTCATATCATACTCAGCCTTAAACAATAATTCTTCATATCATACTCAAGCTTAACCAATAATTCTTCATATCATACTCATGCTTTACCAATAATTCTTCATATCATACTCAGCCTTAACCAATAATTCTTCATATCATACCAATAATTCTTCATATCATACTCAGCCTTAAACAATAATTCTTCATATCATGCCGAGCCTTAACTAATTATTATGCATTATCCTCTAGGCGTGCTACAGTCTGGGTAACACCTACACTCTTCTAAAAGAGTACAACGACTCYGTCACTTTTCATATCAAACACCTGACTATTGCTCAAGAACTCGGCGACAGGTGAGTCTCAATGCTCATGCGCGWAGTGCATAATTCAAAAGTCATACCACATGGTGAAAATCGCATAGTGATACCTTTAAGTACATATGGGTTTGTTATCTTTGATAATTAAACGATAAAACTAAAGCTAGTTCAAGCGAATAAGGTGTTGGTCGGTCACTGCTTTACCGGGTTTGGCTCCCGAACTAGGCTTTTGTGAGCCAGAATTAATATATGTTAATTTGCTAGCTGCTATGAGGTGATTTATCAACGATTCGRTGAATGCATAGACCTAAAAGATGTATTTCTTTTTTATCTTTGCTGTCTTGAAAGCAAACACGGAGTATATACATTTGGAGTTCTTAACATCCTTTGAATCCTTACTAAAAAATACTTCATTTGAATCTGATTAAAAGATCGGCAAGAGATTTTTTCTATCCTTCTGTTTAGAAAATTTGTACTTTCATCTAATCAAATRCGTTTTCGGAACCTAATTAGCTTTCTAGCAACAAAATAGCTCCATCCTYGCATTGGAATGGYTTCCGATTGAAATGGCTTTCTAGCATTGAAATGGTTATCKTACTAGCATTGAAATGGGTTTCCAAACGTTTGAATAGCTTCCCATACATTGAAATGGCTTTCTAGATGTGAAATGGCTATCTTACTAGCATTGGAATGGGTTCCAAAATGTTAAAATGGCGTTCTTGTTTTTATATGCTTTTTAATGCATCGTAATGGTTCTGTTTTTCACAAATGATGCTCCAGGAATCCGGTTGAGTCACCAATGGGATTAAAATGGCATTTTAAAATTGTTTTTYAAATCAATGCGTCTTTGTCGGCTTTGTCACTGATCGCAATGACGCAGAGGAAACGACGTAAAGTTTCGATTTGTTGAAGTTCTTAGAATCCATCCCTGCTTTTGAAGCACCGTTTAATTAGGTGTTTTTATGACTGCTAAATAGCATCTTTCCCCGGAATTAATAGAAATATATTTTATTTTGTAGTTAAGGCAATGTTTTTTGGYAATCAGTAGACGYTCAATTGTGCGCCAATAAATTTGTTTTAGTGACKCGGGAGAACAAAGCAAAACAAGGAGAAAGAAAATAGTAATAATCGTTACCTGAAAGTGATTTTTGTTTACTGGAACTCCGGAAAACGGGAAATGCCGAAGTGACCGATGAAAAAATGGAAAATGAAAACTATAAATGTAGTTTGGATGRATGGGATTTTAAATTTCTTTCAGTTTCAAATGCTTAGTCTCAAGATTGGTGTTCATAGCCCTTAAATCCGCCTTCCAACAACCCCCCCCCCCCCATTTACGAGCACTAAAGCTTACGCAATCACACGTATAATCTGAAATCGAGAACCACAATGTCGATACTCTGTTCAGTGCTTGAGATCCTTTCAGGAAACTTCACAGACGAAGAAGAAGATCATAGTAGTCACTTTGATTCTCCAAAAACCTCTCATCAGATATGAAGTGTACTCGGTGTTTTTTTGCTTCAACTAAAACGTCTTAAGCACCTTTTTCACAGATCGTGTTGCAGTGATTTAGAGACTTTTAAACTCTCAGTCTCCAGGCAAAGGGCTCTATCGTAATGGGCGTAGGTCAACATCCCTCAAGGTGTTTTCGTTATCTTAGAATACAGTATAAAGGTGTTTGCGGCTGTAGTGGTCTAATATCAATATATTCAAGCATTTTTCTTGCCTTCCTTTTTATGAATTGAGTTAATATTGTTTTGTTTTGAAATATAAGACTTCAAATCTGAACGTTWGACGCCCTTTTCCGATTCTCTGGGCCTGCGCAATATCGTTCTTGTTTTTCTGTGATGTTGTTGAAGATTTTTGTCGGTTTTTTTGTCTGTGATATCGTATCGAGAATGAAAAGGACGCAAGATATGATTATTGTGGTTTGAATGGTTTTTTATCAAACATCAGCAAGCAATCGTCAAGTGGAATGGATGGAAATGAAAAGAAAAAATATGTGAATAAAATCGAAAGGGTAAAAGGAAGATGAAAGACGAAATAAACAATGAATGGTTGAAAGAATGGGAAATGAATGAATGAATGGGAATTAAATGAATAAATGAACGGAAAATGGGATAAATGAACGAATGATTGCTTTTTGAATAAATGAATGAAAGAAAAGAGTTGAATGGGTAGTTGAGCGAAGCGATCCATTAACGAATCTCTGGATYTTTGAATGAATGAATTGTTTTTTTAGGATAATTATATCTTTGGTTTCTCTTTAAAAGAAATTATTAAATAGATGGATGGTCGAATTAGCGAGCATATGAGACGAGGTTCACGAATCGATTTAACTGATAAGATAAAAAACTTGATAAGTAAAAAACACACTTGTATCGCGACAAGAAGTTTTAAAGTTCGTTTGTATTTGTTTTGTTTTGTGCGACTCTATGTCAAACAAGCTTTTTTAAAAGCTCTACATAACGAAATACTTCATATACMAATATCTGATATTGAATATATCATTAAACTCAGAAAAACGTGCTTTATTGATCATGAAACTGAGCCACAATTCACGGAAAATGAGTTAWAGATCTCAATGAACTTCACTGAAGCCACTTGAGGTTGCGATATAGTGGTTTTCGCTGTAACATTTTCAACAATTGTTCCACGAATCCAWGTCCTTGAGACACGTTCATATACTCTTTGATGTGAATTTCTTTTGATTTCCAAGCTTAATCTAATAAATCTCAATCCAGTTGCTCTTCTGTTTATCTCTCAATCGGATATAATAGTATCTAAAAAACTATGGACACTGAACCAGCATTCTGATTGGCTAATTTACTATCGTGTATTCATTATATGCCATGGTCGCATCGAGTAAGCGAAAAAAAGTCGAAAAAATAGTGAGAAAAGTGGTTTTGTTTATGTTCTTTTGTCAATTTTGTCTTATAGTTTTGTGGTTCCTAAAAAAAATTAGATCACTCGTGAACTCGACTTGGCGGTCTAACGCGGTCTTATTGTGAAATATCCCACTAGTAAAGTGACCAATCGATCGGAGCATGAGTTATTGTGGATATAGGCATAGACATCATGACGAAGAAACACTTGTAGTACTTGTTTGTTTATATTTTTGAAGTGTTTGTACCCTCAGACATGATAATAGTCGGTGTTAAATTAGACGAAAGAAAATATTTACGATAAAAATCGATGTTGTTGTTCACGTGTTGGTGAACTCACGTTTATTGCCGTGATTTTCACATCTGATATTTCTATTTGAAGCTGTATGTATATTTGGACAAAAAAGGCCGCTAAAAGCGCGGTGGTTCTCCATTGAAAGTCCCCTGATTTGCATCAGAAGGTACACTATTGGGAATAAATGAATAAATTTTTCCAAGGAATTTCTGTAAAATTTTTGAACGAAGATAATGTAGCAACTTTATCCTTAATATTGTAAAGAATTTCCTTATAATATAAAATAATTTTTCCATTTCTTTCCTTTTTTTTCAATTATCACATATGATCGATAATTTGAGTGAAGAGTGGGCGTGAAAGACGATTTCTATGACTTGAAAATGGGAAAAGAGCATTGGTATATCATATGTTTATACGTTGTTTTTTTATTATAATTATTTAGTTCAAGTCGCTTTCCGACRCATTTAAAAATCAAGAAAACCAAKCAGGAACGTTGACGAATGGCAGAGAATCCGAACTTTCGCATTWYCCTCCGTTTTYAACTTCCAGTSAATGAAAAACGTCTAGGAAATCCTTCCTCKTTGCGAAAAAGASCAACATGATKGGTGCCTTTTTGATTTTTAAACATGAAGCTGCTAAAACCAGGCCACAAAACATAATTGACAACATGGACATAAATCAAAACAATGCTTTTGTTCCATATTTTTTATTTGGATACTTTRATACTTGAACGCTGTTTATTATGCTACAAAGCTCATTTAGCAAGGCGGATGATTGACATAAAAATAACCCCAGGGACCATTTGATGTTTTCATGTTTATTCCGTTCATGCATGCTGTATATTCGGTCTTCCTGTGTGGATTATTTTCCGTGATGGCCTGGTGTTTCTCCCRCTGACCAAGAGGGTCGTGGGTTCTGAAGCAAGATTGTTTTTGTTACATAGATTACTATATACTACAACCTCCTCTATATAGCGACCACCGATCAGCAAAACCATTAAATTTTGCTTTTGTTGTTTTTTTGTCGTCGTCGTCGTTGTTATTATTGTTGTTGTTGCTGCTGCTGTTGTTGTTGTTATTGCAGCAAAACCATTAAATTTTGCTTTTGTTGTTTTTTTGTCGTCGTCGTCGTTGTTATTATTGTTGTTGTTGCTGCTGCTGCTGTGGAAGTGGCTGTTGTTGCTGCTGTTGTTGTTGTTGTTGCTGTTGTTGCTGTTGTTGTTGCTGTTATTATTGCTGCTGTTGTTGTTGTTGTTGTTGCTGCTGCTGTTGTTGTTGTTGCTGCTGCTGTTGTTGTTGCTGCTGCTGTTGTTATTATTGCTGCTGCTGTTGTTGTTATTGCTGCTGCTGTTGTCATTATTGCTGCTGCTGTTGTTGTTACTGTTTCTGTTGTTGCTGCTGCTGCTGTTGTTGTCCCAGTCGTCACAGTTGCTCTAGTGTTATTTCGCTGTAGCAATAATTGTTTTGTTGGCGTTGGTCCCATTGCTGTGAACGTCGCTCTAGCAGTGAAACTTGAAGGTCAATTTTGGTCCTTGACTTCGAGTAATATTTTGGTCTATAAAAAGAACTGTGGAGCTTTAACGATAAATCGTACCTTAAAAGGAATTCTTTTACGTACAAATTTGAGTTGGAGGATTATTTAGAGTTGGGGGTTTCAGAGATAAACTTGATCAAGTAATAGCTTATTAAAACTCCCACATACACACCCTCAAATCTTGTGTTTACATCCTAAAATAGATCAGAGGGGTCCGTAATATAGAATTGTCCGTAATATWGGAGTGTCTGTGATACAGAGCTGTCCTGAATAGTGAGATATCTTTGATATAGAGATGTCCGTAATGTAGAGGTGTCAGTATTATG